ACTCGTTTGGTTGGACAAACTTGCTGATATGGCTAGGAGCCGACCTCAGTGGCGTTCGTGCTGTGAGTTTCTTTGTCCGACCCCATCCCTCTTAGCCTCCTCCTCCAACCACGATCTGATTATTTAACCTTATATAATTTTGCATAGTAATTTTTTTGATGCATAGTAGCCGGCTGGTAGCTTGTCGGAACGATGCCCATCCGTTACTGGTAGTTCAGCCGGATTGCCCCAGTTGAATTCTTTTTCTCTCCTTTTTTCTGTGTATTGCGGCACAGTAGCTGAGGTGTTCCCCACCTCTAGCTAACGTGTATGATGATGATGAGGGTCAGGGCGACCCTCGCAGTGTCCTAGCCCACGAGCGACCGGTGGTGATTGCGCAGCAGTGAAGTGTCGGTACTGCGTACCAGTGTACTGCTGATGCACTAGCAAACCGGGTACGTAACTGTATAGGTTCCGAGTGTATTGCGCAGAGCGATCTAGTCGAATGCGCTCCTAATGTCGTGGGACATACGGCATGCGGGACGCTGCTCTGCCATCTACCGCAAATTAAGTATGTGATCTCTCTGTCAGAAACCTGCCTGCTCTTCTCCCACCTAAGATTCCCATTCAGCAGCGAATGAAATAGCAAGCTGGTAACTCCCAATACTCCAGTATCAAGCTGATGGTTGTATAGCATCGAAGCGAAATTATAACTTGATTTGCTGCTCCTGATGATGGTGATGACAGGCGCTGGACACGGTTCAAGGTCACATCGGCAGAACATTTCGCCTAAGGTTCCGAGTTCTCTTTAGGCCAGACCAGTACTCTGTTTTGGAGAACGTGATTTTCCCCCTGAAAGCTCGTTATTTCCGTGATAAAATAATTTGGACCAATAATGTTCAGGGTAAGCATTTGGTGGTTTCAAGTGAATTCGAACTCGTCACTCGGTGCGCCTACCTCCTTCCTCACTGGTCGGAGCGGTGTTAAGCTACAGTGTTTGGCTACTAACCTGACCGTTCCAAAGATCGAACGATTTTCGGACGACTTTCGCCATTTCGTTGCCCGTTCCTACAAAACGTTTTTGCATCAAGGCTTTTCGCTTCGGAGTTTGACTGTGACTGCGCTTTCGGGAAACATGATCGTGCTCGTCAGGATCACGTAAAAAACGAAAGATCTAGCAACTGATAATTATCTGCAACACGCTAATCCGTCGCTCACACAGTTGTTATGTGTGATAATAGGAGCCACAGCAAAACACATCATACGGTGAAGCGTCTGCACTCATTCCTCTGTGGTCGTAAATGGTTCCGCAGTTAGTGGCCCATTTTTATGAACAATCCGTTTTTATTTGCTTTTATTCTGTTCATCTGGTGCGATGGCGGAAACACGCCCCCTTCTTTGGGTTCAAGTATAGACCTGCAGACTGAAGCTAGCGGAAGCGGGCAGCGCTGCGTGTTGAATCTAGCGTAATAAAAAGCATCTGTTTCAGGCTTTTCTGACACACAATCGAATGTATGGACGAGCCTCTGTTTCTTTTTGAGAGCACGGTGGTATTTATACCTGCGACTCACTTATCGATTTTTTCCGTATAAGCACAAGATGATCTCCATCATGCGCCGTATAATTGCACTGATTTGAAATTATTCTCAGAATGATCAAATACTTGTGCACTATGGTCTGTTTCCATGTAATTACCACCAGGCAGGCCGTTGAGCACATCGATCGATAGCGTAGCTATTTTACTTTCACCGCTACTACGTACGTGCAAGTCATAGAGTAATCACTCGGGCCCGCGTTTTCCAGTTTCGTCTACCCCGACGGCTTCGATGATTGCAATCAGCTTTTGCACGCATTGTTCACTTGTCTACAACAAGAACACCGTACGTTACCGAATGTAAGCCGGTACTTTTTGGACAATATTTCATTTCTATAGTGGGGAGGGGATCGGCTTATGTATGCATATTTCTCGACTGTGCGAGTTACAGTCCAAAACTTGGAATGATCATATACCGAAACATGATCGCGAAGTGCACATGTTGTTTTCAATTTTCCGACAGAGTTCAACCTCAGATATATGAGGAGTTCAATTGGTATAAATGGTAAAAAGGGGAGTTTAAAAAGAGGATGGCAGTGGTTATTGAAAAAAGCACAATAGAATTAATACGGCTTAGCGTGGAACCGACTCCTGGGGACCTACTTTCATGCGGGATACTCCCTCAAAAGGTTTCATCCGCACTTCCACGTCCCATTTGGATTCGTATCGGTGTGGCATAACAGCAAGCGCGCCATCACCATAGTAGTTTTTATGGCCATTCTTATATGTAATGAGTTATAGGACCACAAAGATAAGTGAGCACTCATGTTTTTCGTTTTTTAATACTCTTTTAGGCCATTCATTTATGTATTTGAAAGGTTAAATGTAAAATCCACCCAGGAATTCGCCGCACACCCGCTAGTGACAGGCGGTGCCATGGATCATGTGACGTCGCGTTAGCGCACTTTGGGTAGCGAGTCAAAAGCTCTCGTACATTAAAGTCACTACATCTGACCACTACTAGAGCAGTTTTCGCCTGAACACACTCAAGTGAGAGCAAGTACTGATAACGTTAAAATCATTGAGAGACACTTTCGTTTCGCGGCCAACTCTCACTGTATATTCCAAGTCGTGTGTAACTGCGGAGCCAGTTACATAAGCAGGCCCGGATAAAACCTTGAGTTCCCGAATGATGGAACACATGCCGAAATGGGTACAGTTCGAGGTAGCGAAACAAACGGCCACAAATCAGACTACATGTGCACACAATCCATCGGCATTTTCGACCGCCCGGCACTTTTTGACCTAGGTCATCTGATTGAGGTAAGCACGACACACGTCATACCAATTCGAAGCACCTGCGATTTGCTGAGGCTCGCAATAAACCGGTGCTTTGCGTACAAAAGCAATTGTCGGTCAATCTCAGATTACCCTGAACATAGAGGCACGACTTCCGTTGCCTTTCATATTGTTTGTTTCCATGTTTGTTACCACCATTTAATCGTTGTACGTGTTTCCAAGTTACCGAGACGGTGCGAAGTGCATGCATCTGCCGAATTTTGTTTTCTCACTGCAATTTCGTTTCTCTTTTTGCTGTTTTATTGTGGGTCGGCTAATCGAGGGACTTACGACTTTGGACAAATTCGACATTGCAAACTTATACTGTCGGTCTATCCATGGATGAGGTTATATTCGATAAACTGGACGGTGGTCGCAAGTTCCTAATTCACAGTTTCAGCTATCCATTTATAAGTAGCACATAGTTACTTCACATACGTAGCCACACTGGTCAACCAGACTGCTGCAGTGGCGGCATTTAGAATCTCTGCTCTCTATTTGATAATAATAGTGATTATTGCTTCGGTTACGGCCACAGTGATCGCGTTGACCGAAGTTCACTTCAATGTGAGTCGTGGTCCGCATTGGGATCGGGTGTCGCACACACAACGAGTACTTCAAAATGACCCTCCAATAGTGATTATTATTACAATACGTTCCGTTTATTTATGGACACAAGTATCCGGACGCTTTGTTTTAAAGTACCACGTGTTACACAATTTAACGAGCTCACACTGAAATGAATCCACGGGTCTATTTATACATCCATATGAGAATCTCTTCGCCTGCTCCTGGGAACAATAATAAATGCAGATGATTGTCTACTTTAAAAGTTGTTTTGTTTTTAACACTTGCCTGCTCTCCTTTACTTTTTCGGTCTCTTCACGACCGGCTGCATCATTCCATTCTCGGCCAACGTACTGCTCATATCAGACGGTTAGCTTACTTGTACGTTAGCGCACGCGGTGGTGGTGGTGGTGTTTTGATCATAGAGTTTATTGCTTGTGACTGCAAACTCCTAATTGCTTGCATGATTCCACCGCATGATTCTGCTAATGCACTGTGAGTCTTAAGCATTATCCCGAGACGATACTCGCAGTAAAACCTCAGGGCATTATTCCTCTCGAATGTTGGATATCAGACAAAAGTGTCCTCGATATCGCCTAAAATGTTGTTTTGTTTCAGCTTTGCATTGACTTTTGAGGCTCTCTGTAAATACTCTCCACGAATGATAGACCAGTTGATTACACTACACATCGCCGGCTATGCTTCCTTACTGGGATGGGATCAACCATATCCCTTTTTATCTAAACGCATTCTGGGCAATCTGTTGCCGCAAAATCCTCCGTTTTGACAATTAGTCCATGAACACCAAAGCTATCCAATTGTGGAGTAATTGTGATACGTAAAAACGTTCTGTTATTAGGATTGACTAGTTATATTTCCACACTAGGGAGGTTGTCTCTGATTTGTATGCTCCGTTTTACACAATTACCGATGAATTCCGTTGGCACTTTATAGATTGCTCCCACAGTTTCGTTAGGGAAAGTAGTCTCCTCTCTGTGTCCAAACCGCAAGTCACCTGGCCAAAAAGTGCAGCAGGGATTATTTTGATGAATCTGTTGATGGCTGCCTTATACGTCTTTTGCACGATAATGAATCAACTAGCAGTTCAGTTATGTTAACGTCTATATGTAAGGAAAAGAGAGGCATAAGCAGTACGCTGGTGCATGGTGTTGACGCCTCGCTGCCACGTGATGACTTTCAACAATGGCGATACTGCGAGGTCAGCCGCATCTAGCATGTCTGAACCAGTGTACTATTGGTTATAAGCCGATGTTGCCCGTTTCCTTCATGACGTTAACCGGTAGTCCCACTAAGAGCTCTGATGTTTTCAAAACTTGATGTCGAATACATTGCTACGCACAGTTTTCAATCAATTGAACACCAAGCGTTGACGATTCTCTGCGTTCATGAGGACTTGTACGTTCCCATTCAATGAACCGCACACCTTGAGTTTACATTATCCCGAGATTGCATGCTGATAGTTCATTCTCCATTTCACCCAACCTTCGCTTGCCGTGTAGGCTCAATTCCCCGTTAATTCGTTACAAACTCCTGTAACTGGGTGCTTCTTTATCTGTTGTAGACATCACTTGGTGGTGAGATCCCGTTTAAGTGCGGCTGAAGCACCCGTCTTACCTGACAGTGAAGCATCAACTCCCTTGGCTGGGCAACGCACTGAGCGAGTGCTCGATGAATCTGCCGATCGCAACACACCTGACGGATCTCGGTAAGTTGGTATGGTTATTTATGGCATGCCTAGCCATCCAACACGTGTCGATATACATCCACCATAATGACGAGGATGAAAAAATGCAACCATATCAGCAGGCCAAATGAGAAGCAATTAAGTATCAGAAACTGCAGTTGACTTTGAGGAAGAGGCCATGTTCTCTCTGTTTTGATCAAATCGCGGTGAGGCGCAGCAAGGGGACGATTCGCTTTGGGCGGCATTGGACGGGTGGGCATTTCCATTACTGTTGATTGTTCGATACCAAATATAAAGGACAAAATTCCCAAATAACTGAGGGTGTGACCAATAACACCTTTGCGCCGTGTCACATCTGTGGAAACGTTCTCCCCAGCTATAGCGTTACTTGTCCCATTGTGGTCACTTTCACCGTGTTTACCTGCGTGTCCCAAACTATCATCGATTTCATCGGAAAATAATGTACACTTTAACCTGAGCCGATTGTGTGGCCTTTACCCTCAGTCAAGGCGAAAATTTCACCACCGCCCCGGGCGGTAAAAGTACCTGCTACGCCACTGGTCTATTAACCAACATGGTCCAAATCAAATAGCCATCCACCACTGCAATGCATAGGCAGAAGGTGATGTTATATTCTTGAATCTCCATTGCATATGTGAACCATGTAGATTTGGATAACTTACATTTCAAAAACCTATCAGGTTCTGTGTGAACATAAGGTGTGCCTTAATGAGACGGAACAACTCCCTGGTGCGCAGTTATCCTTATACCGAGCAATGAACTCTTTTTGATGTTCAAGGCGCCAACGCAAGTGTACTTCGCTAATCTAATTACAAATTAAACTTCACGGTTGCGTGCATACAGCTAACATTAGACATGCAATGGCTCGAGGTAGTTGGTAACATTGTCTCGCGTACCATAGACGATGATGATCACTCAAGTGCCTAGTTAAAAAAACCTAATATTATCATGATCGTCATCATACATCATAGCTAGAGGGAAGAAACATCTTAGCTACTGTGCCGAAAAAAAGAATAAACACAACAAAGGCACGCCAGTAATAACGGATGAACATCGTTCCGAGGAACTAACTGCCGGCTATTTGCCGTCGGAAAAAGTTATGTTAAGTGCCCCAAATGAGATCGTGGTTAGACGAGAAGGGACAAAGAAATTCGCAACACAAACGCCACTGAGGTCGTCTCGACAAGTATGTCCAGCTAAACGTGTTCATCGTTTTTCGGGCCCCAACCACGGAGCCAAGAGGCTCCAATCGAAGCCAACTTAGAATTGAAGGCCTTCACTTCTATCCTTCCATCCATACCCCCCGGCGCGCAAACAACGCACGACGTGGGAGTCCGTGTTCTGGCATGCGCAACACGTGGCCCAGCTATCGGAGCCTGGTGCGTGAAATAACAGTGCTTAATCGGTTGGTTCACTTAATCTTCCTATGCCCTAGAAAACTTAATACGGCGTTCGATGTCCACAATAAAGCATTAGATACTGAGGCTTTCTCTCTTTTGCATTTCTGCTTGTCAGAATTCTGTTGTTCAGCCTTGCGCGTGACGGCGCACCTTCGGAAACACAAACCAATGAAGACTCTGGGGAACACAACCAACAATTACGGTTAAGGGTTGCCGAAACGCTAATGGCGGCCTTCCGGAATAGCGGGACGGACTCGGATGGCCGAGACGACCCCGAGGGCACACAAGGAAATGAAGGCGCCCAGACGCACCCAGAGGATGATGATGAGACCAGGTACGCCGAGTGGATGGACGGCGAGCGGCCATCACGGAGCCAGCGTAAACAAAAGAGACGCCAACGGGAATTTCGATATAATCCACCTAGCTACCGTTTCCGAGACGAAATGCGAAAAATAATGCAGGAAGAACTACATCTACCAATTCGCATTATTGAGGATGTGTTTTCTCTGTGAATGCTCCTATCTTTCCATTTTGTACATACACTTTTGATTCACCTTTATTTCTAATTCGTCGCAACATTAAGATCTCCTAGAGTCATGAGTTTTATTATTCTGTCCAGATGATGTTGCCCTTCTGTCTCGATACGCACCAAACATCAGAACAACGGATAGCGGACAAGTGCATGCTAGTAGAAACAGCAGATATTCACAGATTAAATTACATCGCGCTATTTTCATTCTGTTTTCTTTTGCTTCGCCCCGGATAATTCGCTAATTCGTTTTCGACGCGGGTTCCAGCGTCTCAGCCATTTCAATCTGAAGTACAATGATGCGGAGAATTAAAAAAGCACGTCATTTGTCCAACAAACATATCATTTGGGTGTGTGCCACTCTTCAAAAATCAAAGTTCTAAGACCGGGCGTCCTAAACATGAAAATTAACATCTACAATGAGGTACACTCTGTTGCTTGAGGCATTAGCCTTATTGCCTCAAAACGTCTCACGGGTCTCATTCTTCGACGACTTACTGCTCCGCGTTAGTGCCGGATCACTGAAAGCCAGGTTGGCTTCCGCCTGGCCATGGTTGTATCGACCACATATTTACTGTTCGCGAAGTTTTAGAGCAGAGACACATACAGACTGCCGCTTTCGACTCTGTTGACCACGCCAACCTGTGGCACTGCCTATCCATGAAGGGCGTTCCAGCTAAACTGTTTTCCATTTATACCGTGATTCTCGAGGTCATGTAAGGGTCTACAGGAAACAGTCTCCACGGCAAGTGTAGTTCATGAATGGCTCGAGTAGTAGTAGTAGTAGTAATCTCAACAGTCTATCAGCTAGACACGGAGCCAACATAAAACCATGGAGATCAGTGGATAAGCAAGTCATCGCGGCATGCTAGTTGAAGGTGAGCAACACACTTCAACTAATATGCCGCAGGAAGAATGGAACATTCTGACAAAAAGTAGAACAAAACATTTTTAGTTTGTTTTTCACACACCGCTTTTGCTCTTTTTTGTCATTTTAATGTATGCAGTATTAAACATGTGAATCAATACAATGCTGCACACAATTCTTCCACTGACTCCGGTTGCGGGCCATATCCTCAAGAGTGCTAAGCCATTGGCACTCCTCATCTTTGCGTCCCCATCCTGGAAGACGTACGGATCCAACAGCGACTAGACACGACGTCAGCGATTTCATGTGCTGCCGCCAAGTGGAAGGCTGACCACCACGCGGTCGCCTCCAGCCAGGTCCTTGACGAGCGAATAGTGCGCGACGCGGTAGACGCTCAGGTGCCATGCGTAGGAGGTGACCGAGCCATCTTAACTGGCGCAACAAAACCAGTTCGTTGAAGGGAATACTCGCATTCCCCAAGATGCGACATCGAACGTCGTTACTATTAACTCGATGTTGCCACCAAACACGAGCGATCCTCCTTAAGCAACCGTTATCGAACGCAGAAAGACGACGCGTGTCTTCCACGCGAATCGGCCAGGACTCGCACCCATACGACAATACTTAGCGAACTGATGCGCTGTAAACGCGACCCTTTAGTGAGAATGAGACGTCGCGACGACGCCACAAGTGCCTCAGATTGACAAATGCTGATCGAGCTTTAGCGATACGAAGAGAAACTTCTTTACTGATAGTGCCGTCAGCAGAAACACAGTTTCCAAGGTAGACGAAACTATCTACCTGCTCGGTTCTTTCAGATTATTCTGGAGTGGAAGTTCTGCCAGGCGACCGACTTACAAATCTGGAGTATGTGGACGTCATACTTTTACATTGGCTATGCAAACACGACTGCACAGAATTGTGCGTAGCGCTGCACGCTTCGGCATGTACTTCGCACCTTCAAAGTGCTGTTGCGGGACTGGACCGACAAGTCTCTTGAAGTGGTAGATCGGTTCACTTGGTAGCTGTCACTTCTGGTGGTCATATCACTGGGGAAGATACTTCGCGTATCAGCAAAGCCTGTGTGGCTTTCCAGACTCAACCATCAGCCTGTATAACGCTGCGGTAAGGCCGGTGATACTGTATGAACCAGAGACCTGGGAAATTTGCAGTGAGGATAGTAAACTCTTGACCATCGGTGCTTGCGGAGTATTGCTCACTTTTAGTGAGAGCCATGTGAGCAGTTGCTTTTTTGGCAAGAAGCCTTCTAGCACTTTTTAGGGTGTTTGGTAAATTTTAATCGCTTACGTTGGTTAGGTCATGTCCTTAGTATTCCCGTTCCTCGGCGTGTATTATACGCCGTGGCCGCACCAAGTTGGGCGAAATCGCGAGGTGGCCAGTCCATGACGTGGCATAGAAGCTTGAAGAAACTTGGTCAGGTTGGTGCGTGCCACCTTTGTGGATGGGGCCTCGGGATGGTCCACACCATTAGATGCAGACCGTATCAGACATGGCACATCATCATCGTCATCATTACACGTTAGCTGGAGGTGGAAAACACCTCAGCTATTGTGCCGCAATACAAAAGAAAAGGAAAACAGTGGCACGCCCGCTGAGTCCCCAGTAACGGATGGACATCGTTCCGGAGAGCTAACAACTGGCTGCCGTAAAAGAGAATCGTATTATGCCTAACAGATGAGATCGTGATTGGAGAGGGATACTAAACAGGAGGGGGATAGACAAAGGAAATCACAACACAAACGCCATCGGTGCCGGCTCCGAGCCATATCAGCAAGTGTGTCCAACCAAACGTGTTCACCGTCCTTAGGACCCCAGCCAGGCAGTCGGGATGCACCAACCGACGCCAACTTCGAAGTGAGGCTTTTCATTTCTCTCGACCAAGTCATCACTTGGCCTCCCCTCCTCCTCTTCCAACCGCACCCACAACGCGCAAACAATGCACGTCGCGGGAGTCGGTGTGCTGGCATGCGCAACACGTGGCCCAGCCATCGGAGCCTGGTGCGTGATATAATGGTGTTGAGCGGTTCACTCGCTCTTCCTGCACCAAATACGCGACGTCTAACACGCTCATTGCACACGCGGTGTTCCCACCAGACATGAGCTAAGCTGCGAAGGCAGCGATGATCGAATGTGACGAGCCTCTTTATGTCTGTCCACCTGATGGGCCAGGTTTCACAGCCATATAGGAGAGTTGAACGGACGGCTGCGTTGTAAACTCTGCCCTTCAGGGCGAGAGTAATGTCGCGTCTGCGCCACATGTGGCGGAGATTGGCAAAAGCACCTCGAGCTTTTGCTATACGGTTCGTAACCTCATCTTCAATCCCACGGGTGCTAATATAGCTGTCCACGTACTTGAATTCCTGAACGACTTCTAGCAGATCACCACCAAGCGTTAGCGCAGGGTTGGGTCCCTGCCAATCTTGGAGAAGTACTTTGCATTTCGATGGAGCAAAGCATAGCCCAAAACGGTTGACAGCCAGTGCTCTCTGGCATGTTTGAGAGCTGTCACAGATTAGGGCAATATCGTCTGCATACTCCAAGTCAAGAAGTCGCTCACCAGGAAGTAGCTCCACACCTTCTAGGTCGTGTCCAGCGAACGCTGTTTCCATGACTTCATCAATAGCGAAGTTGAAGAGGAAAGGTGACAGCAGGCATCCTTGTCTCACACCGCTGGTGATACTGAAGGGTGGCGAGAGTTTGCCATAAACCCTCACTCTGCCTGAACTATGCGCGTACAGCGCTTTGATAATGTTTACATATTTATCAGGCACACCTTTCCTCAGCAGACAGTCCCAAAGGGCACATCGATCGACTGAGTCGAAGGCACTTTTTATGTCAAAAAACACGACAACGGTGGGTCGCCAATAAACATGGCGGTGCTCCAACACTTGACGCAATGTGAAGATGTGGTCGATGCAGCCCCGACCTCGACGAAATCCGGCTTGCTCTTCACAAATCTGGCTTTCACGAGTGCCAGACGGTCTGTAGAGAATGACAGAGGCAAGCAATTTAGAGGCAATCGAAATCAGACTGATTCCTCTATGATTGCCGCATTCCAAACGGGAGTTTCCCTTGAAAATTGGGACAATGACGGAGCAGTTCCAGTCTGTCGGGACTGTCTCCTGCTCCCAAAGTTTTACTAGCAACTCGTGTAAATCATCTACTAGAGCAGGTCCCCCGAATTTGAAGAGGGCTGGGGGGATTCTATCTGCCCCTGCGGCCTTATGCAATTTCAACAGCTTGATCTCACGTTCGACTTCTGCGCGTGAGGACGGATCCGAGGACACGGCCCAAGGATAAGGGCGCTCAATGCCCGAAGAAGAAAGCGATAACTCAGGTTGGTTAAATTGCCTTGCAAAGTGTTCAGCCCAACGCTCCAAGCGTTTTGGCAGGCTGTAGATCGGCTGCCCACTCTCGTCGCGTATGGTCTCGCTAACACCAGGTCTCCTGCTGCCTGTTTCCCGTATCAGACGGAATAACTTACGATGATTACCCACGGCAGCGGCTGTTTCCATCTCAGAGGCACGATGAGTCCACCAGGTTTCGCGGTCTTTCCTAAGGCTAGCACGTAGTTTTGCCCTGAGATTTTTGCGAGTCTCTATTGTATTCGCTTCCAGCCGGAATACGTCGTCAAGCATCCATAAGTTCCATAGACTGTGTAGAGACCCAATGTCCGGTTCAGACATAGCACAGTCAGTGGCGTACCTGCATTCGGTTTCTTCCATCTGGTTCTTAATTTTCGTTTCATTTTATCTACATTCTATTTGCATCCAACCCCACTAACTCTGTTGTCATTTATTGTTATTCTTGCGATGTGAGTAGTGGCAACTGGATCCACTGCACTTCGGTACTCGGATCATAGTTGTTCAATTGAAATGAACTCTGCCGCTTTATGCAGAAATAGTGTAGATCTGGGGAACACACTTTGACTGTCCCTTGAACAACCATTCAAAGACTGACTGCAACACACCGACACTGGATGAGACGCAGAGAGCACTTGCTCAGCTGCGAAACGGCAAGTGTGCCGGTGCCGACAGGATTTGCCAGAAATGTTGAAACACGGCGGACCCGCGTTGGTAAATGCCCTGCAGATTGCAGAGGAAGTGCCCGCTGACCTGACTGATGCCGTTGTGCTGCTGCTATAAATGGCGAAGGCAGCAAGCAATGTGCCACGAATTATTGAGTTGATCGCTCGAATCGTCTTCATCCTCATCGTCACCCAGGTCGTTGAACCGAACGTGGCGGAAGAGCAATGTATGTTCTGCTTGGGCCGCAGCACCATAGATATGGTGTTCGCGGCGCGTCGGTCGCAGGAGAAATGCAGAGAGTGACACCAGTCATGGTACTCGCTGTTTGTTGACTTCACCAAAGTATTTAGCACGGTATATCGCGTGGCACTGTGGCTGATAGTAGGTAAGTTTGTAAGTTTAACTGAATGTCTGCGCAGTGGTATGCGAGCGAGGGTGCAGCTGAATGGATCAACGTCGGATGACTGCTGCTGTCTCTGGTGTAAAGCAACGCTGTGCCTTAGCTCCTGCCCTGTTTAATGCAATGCTGTCTTGTTATTAGGGTGTCCTTGTGGAGCACCGTATTGATGGTGGGTTGCTGGACATCCGTATTTTCAGGGTGAGAACCCTAGTGTGTGAGACAATCTTCCGTATGTTCCTGTTTGCCGACGACCGTGCGTTGTTTGCACACAGTCCGGATGAGTTGCAGCACATGACTTCAACTCTTGCTTCGACAGTGGCCATATTCCGGCTCAGTATCAGCCTTCACCAAGAACGGAGTCCGCAGGCCTGCCGCAAATCCACACTGGCAACATCATTTTGGAATCCATTTCGAAATTTTGCTATATAGGCAGCGTAATGTCTACCGACCCGTATATGACGAGCAAGCTGCGTATACGTGTATCGAAGTCGGCTGCCGCATTTCGCAAGCTGGATAAACGTATGTGGAACAATCACCAGCTTACTGTTGGGATGAAGTTGATGGTATAAAAGTCGATAGCATTGTCTGTGTACGGGAGTGAAATCTGTACGTCAGATATCTGGAGCGGTTTTATCAACGGTGTCTGCGACAGCTTCTGCGCATCGGTGGGTGAGACGGTTGCAGACACGGAAGCGCTGCACCGCAATGGCATGTATACTGCAGATTGTGTAAGTCTGCTGCGGCACCTGATGTGGATCGGGCACATAAGCCGCGTGGATTCGACGCAGATACTCAAGCAGGTTTTACGTGGACAGCTTAGTGCAGGGAAGCGGCATGTGGGAAAACCGACGTTACCAAAATGAGTTTATCACCTACTAACATTGATTTCAGGTGTTGCGAAGCGATGGCAGTGGATCGGTGTGAATAGCGCGAACATATCAAGAGGGCGGTTGCTCAGGTGCATGAGAAGGCACTATTGCATGTGAAAGAGAAACGCCGTGCACGGAAGCGATGCGCCGATGGAGGCTACGCCATGGACGTCAAGCGCATATGCGGTCGCGAGTGCCTGAGCCAAGCGGGCTTGGTAAGCCACCAGCGTGACCACGAGGAGCATCCAAAAGGCGACGACTTAGCTGATTATCTAACCAACGTCAGCGCATTGTTCGTAAGTACGCTGGGTCCGCTTCCATTCGATTTACTAACCCATGCGAATAATGTGGTTGGTTTGGTACGTGTGCTTGCATTTAAGGTGTTGTTGCTTGATATCCCCAGTGTGGCTGCGCTTGGCGTGAATGCTGACAAGGTGCCTACCTGTCTTTTACCCTCCACCTCGAGTACTGGCTCCAGGAGACTGAATTGTTGTTTGGGGGTGGGGTGCATGGTGCTCGTGGCCGTGCTAGGCTCGAAGAGTGATTCCATGCACTCAGTGTGGAGCGGACTACGGCCCAGCCACCGCCTTGTGTACGTTTGGTACGCATGATTCCCTTCATAGATAGACAGGAAAGCTGCTGTTGTGCATACTCTAGGAGTGTGTACCGGCTCCGTTGATGAAACGTGGCTCCTATCCACATGCCTCTTGGTCTTATTCCTTCGGGTTTACACTGGATATGGGGTGTTTGGATGGAGTATGGGTGGTGCATTGCAAGCCATCCATGATCCCTCTGTATGCGCAGGCGTCCTGTGACTGTTCACGTAGAGGCCACAGTGACAGGCAAATCCGGAACCGGATGCCGCCAACCATGGGGCATGCAACCGCTCTTCGTAACATTCTTGTTTTATGTGCTGTCTCCAATCTGTATTGTTCAAGCCTCATCATGCTGATACGGCAGCAAACCGACACAGTAACAGGGTTGGTATTTGTGTGTGCCTAGTTCTCACATACAGTGATGTCATTGTTTGGGTTTTAACGATTTGATTACTATCGAAAAGCGATTCTTCGGTTGCCAATAATCAAGGCACTAACCAATGCCGTTGCGAGCGCCGTAAAGCCAACCTAGGCGTCCTGGATTACTTAATCAGCGGAACTAAAGTGTGCGTGCCCCTGTTTTTATTGCCACGCGAACATGTTGACCTGAGCTGCGTGGGCGCTTAAAATCGACTCACCATAATAATAATAACGCAAAGACAACTCTTGAGTGTTATCCGCCCGGAAACAATGCACTCTGTGACGCGTTTCGACCTCTTTTGATCTTAGGAGGTAGAGATAGCAGATTTCGAACCCAGGATGTTAGCTGAAACCTCTATCCCTTCGACCACCGGGTCACGACAAGCAACGCTTGGCACAACGCTTAATGACTGTTTCAACTAGCAGAATATCGCGTCGCAATCCATTCACACAACGAGTACTTTAAAATGGTCAATCAGGAAAGATGGCTGTCAACTGTGATTCAGCCAACTGCTTGGGGTATTGTGCTTATTGAAAATAATTATCATACAAAAATCGGAGAACAACTGCATTCGGGTGCAGAGGAATGAGATAAATTGGACTGTAGTGAGGTGGACGTTGGTTGTTTACACCTCATCGACTTCAAGTTATGCTCGACTATATGGGAAAAGGCATCTGGAATTTCCGGATTCGGTTGTTGGTGCCGCTGCACAGCAACTCGCCGATGTAGACACTCAGTAAATTACTATTGGAGTAGCGCGTGCGATCAGTAAGGATTTAAATGGAAGCCCTAGTCCGGCAAGAACGATGTCTGTGGATATTTGAGCATCGTTCTGGCATACTACCAGAGGTGCTTTCGTAAATGCCGACCAGATCCAAATGATCTACGTGTAGCTTGACTCCTCCATCAAAACTCACTTTTCTGCGCTTTCTTCGGAACACTTCTTGTCACCAGACTGAGGATTTTGTTCCCATTTCGTTTGGTCACATTTTCTCTTTTTCAATATATCGTGCAACAGACGTCGTTCTCCTCGGCGGCCACTGATTATAACGTTACGCCTTTGCTTTGCACCGCCTTTTTTCCCCAAAATCATTTCTGCTTTCCTTAATTCCCATTCAGCGACAAGTCGTTCTAGCTCGCCATCCACTTGCGACCCGCTCCGGCGCATCACTTTGAGTATTGCACCCAAATACGGTAAGTCTGCGTCAGTCCAAAAAGTCATGGCTCGGCCGCTTTGACCCGCCCTTCCTGTCCGGCCGACTCGGTGAATGTATTCTTCCTTGGAGGACGGAAGATCATAATTGATCACCATTCTTACTCCCTGTAGGAAAGCCGAAAAAAAAACATTTCAACAAGAAGTACACAACAGTGCTGCACATGCCTAGTGGAATATAGGTAACAACAATGTATCATCAGCGGATCGGTAGCGGGAATAATGAGCACAGAATATGCCTTATCTCATGAGCTGCATGAGTGGACAGAGGCACTCAGGTTTCTTGTTCTCACCTCTTCTGGGTTGATATTACCCATATTAGTGGTCCAGATAAAACTCCGCGCTTGTGGTCATATCATAAGAATGCGACTGATGACACATATGCACTGAAGAGGCTGCAAACATACTACTTGCAGTGATAATGTTGACGATGCGTATGAACTTTGTTTAAATAATAACGATCAGGAGTATATTCACTAACCTTGAGGTCAATGCCCCTCCCAAGTAGGTCAGTGCACACCAGTACGCTGAGCTGACCCTCACGAAAAGCGCGAATAATCGCAGAGCGCTGTGGTAAAGGATAAAAATAGGTGATACACTTAGCCAGCATATCGATAGGACAACAGGTCGCATATGTTTACCATGTTCACAATCTTGTGTCGATATCGCATCCGCAGCACGGACAACTCCGGCAGGTGATTACCGTTCTAATTTTAGCCACTAAATTTGTCATCCTGCTTGCAGATCAACGAATAAATATAGTTGGACAAAATTTGCCGATTTCCCGGTAGCACAGTGCACATAAGAGATAAGAATTACGTGTCAAGCAAGGATCTAAACAGAACTAACTTCCATTCGAAGAGCTAAGACTAAATAAATGTTATCTGCAAAGTGGATTCTTCACTGAACAAAATATCGTTTATCATACGGAGATCTCACAATAGAGCGGTCTACGATCAAATCTCCTGTATAACCCAGTCAATAGTTGCGAGGGCCATAAAATCCTGTTTCCTTTCCTTGGCCCAAACGTAGCGTGATGAAAAGATCCGAGACATACGGAAGGTAGCGGATACCAGCATACCTTTAAAAATATCTGACATCCAAGCAATCGGCCGCATTCCTAGACTCGAAAAACTTGGGCGCTGTTAAATTAGATTGGGTTTACAACGACAAAGATCTCATTTTGTCCAAAAATACGTTTACCCTTTTTACGTGAGTCGGAGAATGGTATGAGCAAGTGAGATTTCTGGTGCCAGTCATGGTGATAAATTTAGGAATGAGGCTACTCGCTATCTGCGTCAGAAAAGCGTAAATTTTAGATTGAAGGGACGGGAGAATGAGTCAGAGATTGGTAATGAGAGAATCGGTGCGAAGCGCAACTACCTTCCCGGAACATGAGATTTAGATGGCCATCTCGAGTGAGTATAGCATCTGTGATCAGTGCATAATTTACAAAGTTTAGAAAGTGAATTCATCAATCCAGCGAAAGGGAGTGGATCTAAGGTAACCGGTAGCCGAGTGGTATGCACGCCTGGCTTGCAATCATAAGGTCACCGGTTCGAATCCGCGTAGGGGCGGGTGTCTTCGTGGTATACTTAGCCCACGTGCGACTGGTGGTAGTCGCGTGGCAGCGAAGCGCCGTTACGGCGTACAGCCGATGATTTACTTTACTTATTCGATGTCCAATAATTTTACGACAACTGGTGTTGGTCCCGAAGACCCAATCCAGGGAAACAAAACGTGTCAGCGACTCAGATCCGGTTAATGTCATCTTGCCAAGACATAGACTGGCAACACGGGAGCATCGCCTCAACTAGCTGTTCCATTGGTGTGCAGTGCGCAGGAGTTGGCTTTGTCCGCAGGTATGAAAAAACATGAGTCACAGTGCATTCGATTTGAGCTAGATAGATAAGCAGATGCAGTGCCGGACGATACTGGACACAATGAGGTCGAATTCGTCTGCCATATGAATATTGACCCATCTGATTTGCATGGGTCTGTGTGCGGTTGGAAATGACTACTCACTGTTGCTCAACTGATAGTGGAGGCACGCAAGCCACTGTGACACTCGAAATCACAATCGTTCATGGGGCACCAAGTGTTGTATTCTTTCAAAGGTGTACACCCATGCAGCGTCCACTTCACAATGGACCGCGGGTCACTCAACATCATCATCCAGTCAAACTCGCCCTACGTGGTGAGTTAATTCCGTTACAAATTCGAAAATGCACAACTCTGTTATCGTCATCGGCTGAGTAAGTGCAAGGATTCACGCTAAATGGCAATTCTATCTCCTTAATTAGCAATGCAGTAATGGCGTTCACCTTCGTGGAGCGCCTGTTAGATTATTCGGCTAGGTTGCGATCTTTTCTATCGTCCATCCAGTGATTAGGTCTGACAGCCACACTCTGTCTTGGGAAACATTGTTGTGAGGGAGGCGGGTCCGAACAAATCAATCGGTGCAACTGCTGATGTAAATCCAGTCAGTTTGTCAGAGTTCCGCTGAGTGATTTCATTCGTCGATTAGGGTAATGTTCACGAATCAAATAATACCATCACCAATTGGTAAATGGTATACAAGAAACGCCTTTTTGATCAGCAAACCTGAGTGGCCTAGAAACCACATTACCAATCAGTTAGGAGCGCATAGATAGTATCGCGGCGAACATACCAAGTACGAAGCGGTTGTTTGGTTCGTCCATATAGCAGTATCAGTAGGTGATCGTGTCTGAGCGAGGTGAGTCGTAATGTCTTGTACCACAAGACGCATTCATTGTTTCATTCGAAAAAGTCGTGCACACTTCAGATAGAATAGAACAACAGCGGTGTGAGCGCCATACATACCGACAATTCGGTTGGCCCATTTGTTTGGTGCAACGGCGCCGCACTAGCATAATAATCGAGATTCCGGGTGATGACCACAGACAATCTGATTGCGACCAGATGCAGTAATGAGCATGTGGTTCATTGCATTATGACCGTTATGCGCAAGTGAAAAAACGAAAGTGGAAACATGACACTGAATGAGAAAAACGGTGAAGACGGAATGCACTGATCAACGGCCTCATCATCATCAATACACGTTAGTTGAGGATGAAGGGGTTGAAGAGTCATAGAGCAGTTGAAGCAGGAACTACTGAGGCAGCCGATATACGTGCAGGCAAGTAGGTACCCAACAGAGGAGCAAGCGATTGCCACAGCACGTTCTGCATCTCAGACTGCAGTGTCTTGGCTAAGTTTTGATCAGTGTATTACATTATTCGAAAGCAACTAATGATAAATGTGTACATTTTCCTGTTCGATTCTACAATGAGCAAAACATGCATCTCGGGATTATGTATATACAGAAATCAACAGTCGCTGACCCTTCGTTGTCACGCAAGGACCAGCAGTCACGTGCGAGCTAGGGGTATTTCGAGTGCGCCCGCATCTACGAAGGCTCGAACTGTTGATCTGTGGGTTACAAACCAGACATTTGAAGCATTTAGTCACCACTCGAACATCAGATCTAAGTATTAACCAATGGCGCATCAGTCATTACGTAATAAGACGGACTGTGGCCGCGGTAACGCATCTGAGCTGGAATATAGAGGTGTCATTGCACTAAGCACAAAACCAACACAAAAGTATTAGAGGGAGGAGTCGCTCACCTGCGCCTCAGTTTTGTCGCTTGAAATCACATTGGCTAACACGTTCGAGTCAGAGAGCAGAATTTCTTTCACAATCTCTTTAGCCCGTTCTCGTGACTCCATGAAAATGAGGCAAGGATAAGTCAAGCCCCTGGCCAACAAACAACGGATTTCCAAAAGTTTGCCCTCCTCGGTGCCACAATAGCGGAGCTCTTGTTTCACAGTGGAAACAGCTGAGTTGCTACAAAGGAGAGCCAAAGCAGAACGGTCAAAATTAACGTTCCTTGGCAAAAAGTCTGACAACAAAGCACTGGTCGGAACAACCTTATGATGGGAAAGAGGTGAAACGCCCAATTTTGGATCAACGGTGACGGGTAAAAAGTAATGGCTGATGATTTACAGTGCAAAATAACCGCCTCAGTGAAGACTAACGGTGAGAGTAACCCATTCAGGTTCCGGTAACGATGGTCATAAACAACTGCAATCTATGGGCATTAGATGTATGACGGAATTCATGAGGATTTCCAGGAGTACAAAGCAGCTATTTGAAATTTAGCTAATTCATCATAGTCACCCCCAATCAGCAGGCTTTGGCTAGTTTGGAAAAGCGCCGCACGCCGGCATTTCGACCTTCTGGGTCTCATCAGTGGTGCGCCTCCCAACGGACCCCTGCCGGGCTTTGCCCTTATGACTTCAGAATGCCAGCAGCCAGTGCCACTTCGCCGTGGGTGACAGCCGCAGACCTGCGTGACTGACAGGTGACTGTGATAATATATACTCCTTAGTAATATAAAATCTGTCCATATAGCTTCAAGTCCTTTGTCGTGGCGCTATGCGGAAAGTCCTGGCTCGTGAGGGTAGCCACTATTCTCTGCACAGTTCGTAACTGGCATGGCAGGGCTATAGCACAGTCAACTGTCAATCACGCAGGTCTGCGGCTGTCACCCATGGCGAAGTGGCACTAGCTGCTGGCACCCTGAAGTCATGGGGGCAGAGCCCGGTAGGGGTCCGCTGGGAGGCGCATCAATGAGGAGACGCCGGTGTTTCGTGCTTTTCCAGATTAGCCTAAGCCTATACCAAAACCCTCATTACTACTCATTAGCTATTTAAAAATTCAAAAAATCCAGAGAGATAATCAATCACATGTGATATGCAATTTACTGGATGTTGTGGATATTTTGCATCCAGGGGTTGCTTTCAGGGAACACTCGCGAAGAGACTGAACTTTAACGTGGTGCGATGGTTTGTGCACCCACGTGACCCAATGATCTTCCGAGTGGTTTCATCAGAGCCACTCGTACTGAACAGGTCGATGATTAGGAGTCAAACCAGCAGTTTCATAATCCAATTCTCTTCGGAGGTTAGGGAGAGGTTGTTGGCCCCGTTCCCTTAAAATCTAGTCAGTTGATACAACAGGTTTACGTAGTATAACCTCACAGCTCGATTGGTGTAGAGCGCGAGCGCCACTCATTGTCTCCTACGGTGGCAGGACATCGCTCGGTGCTTAATAGTTTGCTACCGCCCGCCTCAAGTCAGGCAGTCCCTCGTCAAATTGGTGCAGACCCCACCTGCAGCTGGCCGTGGTCGCAGGTGCGTAAAATATTACGGTAGAAAAAATGCATTTGCATTGTTCTAAATCTTCGAAGATAGCGCGTGACCGACCTCAAAAAGATCCCAATGGGTCACTGCAATCACACTCCTGAGCTGCACTTGCTCCCCACTACCTTGTGGGCCAGGCTATTAAGTCAAAGTATCCGAATGGAGTCCTTCAAGTGAATCTCCACGTGCCACACTGCCTTGGAGATCAGATTGCTAAGTCAAAAGCTCTACAGGAATGAGCAGCCGGAGAGTAACATCGACCCCTCTCGACAATACCTCCTCTTAATCTTCTTTCCTCTCTTTTCTCCGTCCATTGAACAAGAGACTGCCGCTGGCTTCGCAGCTGCTGCTATCGATACATGTAACTCGTCCCTCAAACCAAGGGTCTCACTTCACCATGGTTCGTTTAACGTCCACACTCTGGGTCAAATCAGTCAACAGACACTTTTCACTCTCTTGGTGTATGCTGTGTCTCCGAAACACATACATGGTAACAGCGTTGTGACGAATCTTTGACTCCCTGGTTCCGAATCTGATGAAAATGACTACACTCGTCGTGGTCCTGGGTCAGTTGCTCAAAGCATTTACGCTGTTGGTAACTCCTTCAGTAAACATGCTGAAAGCAATCTACTCACTGGATGCCGGTGAACAGTCGCATATGTGCGGTTCGACATTTAACCCCTATGGGGGTTAATAAACATCGTCTGAAGACAACGTGCTTTCTCATGACTTTCGTTTATGCTTCCCACTGAATACAGTTCGGAGAGCATGAACGAATATTTCTATCGTTGGATCTCTTCCCTCCGCATGGCGAAAAATATTGACATCGTGATTGTTGTTGGTGACATGAATGCCCAAGTGGGTCATCTTTCAGACTCTGAACAAAATCTGGGAAGGTTACTTCGACGTTGACGCACGCCGAACAGACAATGGTGATCGATCCCTGCAATTATGTGCCGACCCAAATGGACCATAGTGCCAATAGCTATGAGATGGCAAACGTCAGTGCAAGACTGTCAGTCGATTTGGAGCACATGCATGTATTCCAACCATGCTCTAGTGCGCGCGCTTGGGACTCACTCTTCCCGCTTAAAAGTAGCGTCTAACTTCCAATATTCTCACTTGCAACTTGAACTCAGTCCGCATTTCATTAATATCATGGAGAACTGACCCACTAATTATCAGTGGTGAATGAGGTTGGTGAGCCTAACGCTGACTGGAATTGTCTCAATTGTGTCTTGAGAATGCTTTGACGCCTGCTGGCACGTTCGAATTGTGAGTGGATCTCTGAGGCATCGGTCAGTTTGATCGAAACACGCAAACGGGTTCTAATAGGCAAATAGTTTCAGCGTGTCCATGAGGCCCTGAAACGCCGGCTGACAAGGAGTCTTCGAATGTATGTATGTAATCTCAACAGTCTATTAACTAGACACAGAGCCAGCATAAAACCATGGAGATCAGCAGATAAGCAAGATTCATCGCGTCATAATCATCGTGGCATGCTAGCTGAAGGTGAGCAACACACTTCAACTAATATGCCGCAGGAAGAATGGAACATTTTGACAAAAAGTAGAACAAAACATTTTTAGTTTGTTTTTCACACGCCGCTTTTGCTCTTTTTTGTCAGTTTAATGTTTGTAGTATTAAACATGTGAATCAATACAATACTGCACACAATTCTTCCACTGATTCCGGTTGCGGGCCATATCTTCAAGAGTGCTAAGACATTGGCACTCCTCATATTTGGGTCCCCATCCTGGAAGATGTACGGATGCAACAGCGGCTAGGCACGACGTCAGCGATTTCATGTGCTGCCGCCAAGTGGAAGGCTGACCACCACGCGGTCGTCTCCAGCCAGGTCCTTGACGAGCGAATAGAGCGCGACGCGGTAGACGCTCAGGCGCCATGCGTAGGACATGACCGAGCCATCTCAACTGGCGCAACAAAACCAGTTTGTTGAAGGGAATACTCGCATTCCCCAAGATGCGACGTCGAACGTCGTTACTATTAACTCGATGTCGCCACCAAACACGAGCGACCCTCCTTAAGCAACCGTTATCGAAGGCAGAAAGACGACACATGTCTTCCACGCGAATCGGCCAGGACTCGCACCCATACAACAATACTGAGCGAACTGATGCGCTGTAAACGCGGCCCTTTAGTGAGAATGAGACGTCGCGACGACGCCACAAGTGCCTCAGAGTGACAAATGCTGATCGAGCTTTAGCGATACGAAGAGAAACTTCTTTGTTGATAGTGCCATCAGCAGAAACACAGCTCCCAAGGTAGACGAAACTATCTACCTGTTCAAGTTGTGCACCTTCGAGAGTGAGTACGGGAGCAGGTGAAAGCCAATCCTTGAGCAGTACTTTACACTTCGATGGGGCGAAGCTCATTCCATACTTAGATGCTTCAACCGCCAAACGATCCAGAATGAGTTGCATACTCTGAGGATCGTCACCAAGTAAGGCGATATCATCAGCATAATCTAAGTCAGTCGCGCGCTCGCCCGGTAGAAGCTCTAAGCCAAAATGTTGGAAACCTTCTAGGGCATTCGACAGAACGTCTTCGATTGCGAAGTTGAAGAGGAATGGGGACATAGGGCAGCCCTGTCGCACACCGCTATTGACAGTGAATTGCGAGGAAAGCTTGCCATAGACCCTCACTCTGCCGGATGTATGAAGGTAAAGTGCTCGTAAGATGGCGGTATATTTCTCTGGCACCCCGTTCTTTAGTAAGCAACGCCATAAAGCAGGTCGATCAACGGAGTCAAAAGCGGCACGTATGTCTAGGAATGCAATGATAGTGGGCCTGTGATAGATGTGGCGATGTTCGAGGAGCTGGCGGAGCGTGAAGATTTGATCCACGCATCCGCGTGGAGAAAGCCAGTGCTATTGGAAACAGCCGAGCGCTATTCCAGATCATCCGGAACACTGGTTCAAGAAAGTCCTTAGTTAGTAAAACAATAACTGAGAAAAATGGACAGTTGATCCATTCACAGTAGCGTCGACTAGCCCTTTAGGCGGAATATTTTGAAGAGCAGTTCAGCAAGGCTGCTGCTTGTTGAATCACCTGAGCCAATGTGGGAAGTTGGTGTCACGCCTCTGACCTTGGAAGAGAGTCGACATAAGCTCGCCGTGTTGAAACGAGACAAGGCCCCTGGACCCGACGACTTTCCTCCATCTTTGGTGAAAGATGGAGGTGACTCTTCGCTGACTCATTTAGTGTTCTATTCGTGAGAAACCAATGATAACAATTGTACATATGGTAATAAGTGCAATAGGTTAATGAACTATAATGATGGATGGGCCTGCATAGAAATTGTGATAGAACAGGGGCATGGATGGAAGTTGGTGTTGAACCGGTACTGGCATCGGTACACCATATAGGACTGAGATCCTCCATTCAAACTGCAATGCGTGATCCTAGGATCCGTAAGAAGTGACTCACCGTTTTCCAACGCGAAGCAGTACAAGGCTTCCTCTGAGTTCAGTTGCCAGGTTGCTCGGTGCCTCATCGTTACACTGGGGCAGTGATGGAATCTCCATCCGAGCCCATTCTGCGACCTGATCCGGAATGGTGGCCGAAAACAGTGCCACTGAAGCAGCGAACTGACTGAGTGATGACCGCTGTGCTCTACGTATTGCAGAGAAGATGGGATCGAGTTGATCACGAAAGCTGCGAGCAACACCGCATTTACGGCTGCTGAAGTCAACCTCCAACATTTTGTCACACTCGTCCACAATTAACCAGAACAAGCTGTCGGAGGAGTATAGAAAAACCAGGTGGCTACTAAGCATCACGATTAGAAAAGTTGGTTTCGATGGATTTTAAGATGAGATGTATGAAAGTAAGAGAAAAATTGAAATGTTGAAAATAAGATAATAGTAGATAACACAGTTCAGCTTACGATTGCAATTCAAATGGGCAGAGTTTTTCATCTAGAGAGAGCAAAAAGCCAATTCTTTTCGGGGTGGCGATGAGGACACGGGTAGATCGTGGAAGCCGAAGCTCACGATGTTTTTCGTTTCGCTTAACCACACCATCTTGATGTTTGGATTTGACAGCTCCGATCTTTCCTCGGCGAGCGTAGTGACGACGACTCAAACAAGCCAAGAAATGCTCGCTGCTAATCCCTTTTGACAATCGAATGGCCTCGGACCATATTTGGCGCACGAGCTCCTGAGTTGGCGCCAAAATGAGACCGAACAACGCAATTTTGTGCAACTTTCCAGAAGAGGATCCGACGGTAGCTAGGTGAGTTGTGGTATCCGTTACATCGTTCAAAGCTTTCGTATCGACTGCAATCGACGATGGGAAACGCTCACTGAAGTGTTGAAGTAGTGGTAGGAGATAAGCAGCAGTTTTCCCCGATCCGGTGGGAGCACATGCGATGATATTATCACGCTGTAAATGTACAGACAACAAACTAGACGATCAGATGAACGCTTCAATGGGAATGCAAATCAAATTTATAAGTGATGAATTAGGAAGGGAGACATTCCAGGATAGATAGGCACGCATCAGAAGGATCACAACACGTTGCATAGATGAGGATGGTAGATGGAAATAAGGAAAATCAGAGATTATCGCAACAGATTCGAAATCAGATAGTCATCCTCATACCCGGAAAAGCACCAGCCATTTCGTCCTTTCGTGACTCGTCAGCATGAAGGCAACAAGCTTGCCTTGTAATCTGACGGCGAGGGTTCGATCCTGCGTAGGGACAGGGCGACCCTCGCAGTATCCTTAGCCCACGTGCAACTGGTGGTGGTTGCGCGGCAGCGAAGCGTCGGTACTGCCTACCGGCGTACTGCTGATGCCTTTTTTAGTAGTGCGCACTTATCAGCTCTGTAAGGATTCGAACCCATGACCACTAGCGGTTTGCACCGCCGGCAGACCGTCATGATTTGCAAGCTAACTGCGATATAACGTGTCTTATCCTTCACTGCCATGCAAGTTAGGGACGTTGCAGAGGACAGGGTTGACCCCGAAAGACACGACCTTCACTTACAGTAGCCATGTACAACATAGCGAATATTTCGATATATTCATGAGTTTCTCGTAGCAGCTTCCAAATATTTTGAGGACGTATCGGCCATCTGGTGCTTTTACGCACATGTAGAGGACTATCTGATTTGGTAGTCGATGCAAGGAAGTTTCAACTAATTACAATAAAAATTCCATATTCATGAGTAGATAGACATAAATCCAAGCTTCCAATTTGTTCGTGGCTCTGTGCGCCCAGTTGCATAGACCAAATATGCACATGGCACATGTGCACCACAGTTTCCCATGACAAAGCAATAGGAGAATCTATTTCTGTTCCTGTCTTGTCCTGAGACAAAACGATTGTAAATTGGACAGGTTGTGGCTATACTAAGCTAACCCAACTCGTTGCATGGACAAAAAACATCAGGTGGAATTTCCATCCATCTTGCGTGAATGCACGCGAGATGAGAAACAAAATTGCCGGTATATGTACAGAAGAGGCGGGAATGGCGTTGTAGGCCTCCGAGACGTCCACTAAACATGGCTTGACTAGGCGTTGAGTGAGCAAACACTGAATTCCCACTAGAAGCGCAATGGATAAAGGGACTGATTTAAGTCAGCAGTGAGAAAAGCTGTCTTAGGAAAGCTGATTGCCAGCTAGACCTACATTTTTTCCTCAGTGGTGGGGAACTATAGAAAGACCCAAACTCTAAACGCGGACATGATAGATCTTAACATAGCGCGAAAGGCATGTGTGCATGAAAACCGCGACTGGCCGAAAAGGTACACCTACCCCTGTCTGCACTGCGAATCACACATGATGGTGCTAATTAGGTAGAATTCGACCAGTGTCAGCGTGCTTTAAACGGAAAAGGTGATTGTATTGGAGAACACTTACTGTCAAGGTGACGGCGCGATTAGACTGGTTACATGTCAACCACCAACATCAAAAGAGCCATGAATGCAAATCGACCACATCGCGATCAAGTACTGTTAAACCGGCTGCGTTAAAGGCCGCCGCTAGATTTGGAGCACAAGAAGCAATCCGACAACGAACTTGTATATGCTACTCTGCGGGCGCGGTTCGGCAGATGTCCGTGACGATAAACTGAGCGCACAGCCAACTGCAAACTGGCGAATCTAGATGTACTAAATGCGTATCAAAATACGCCAGCATCCGATTTGTGTGAGCTCCCCATGAACAGTTTCAGGCCCTAGTCATATGTTCGCCGAATGAAATTAGCAGTAGGTATTAGTCCGTGTGGCACGTTCAGTCAGGCTGGTCAGCGGATGCATATGCAGTCCCTGGAACTTCAATGCTCGCTGACACGTTTCGGTCGGGAGCGAGTACTACTCGGCCGACGGCCGAACGATCTGCACGCCCGGCTTGCAATCATAAGGTCACCGCTTCGAATCCGTGTAGGGGCGGGCGTCCTCGCAGCGAAGCGCCGTTACGGCGTACAGCTGACACATTATTGGTACTACGAGACTCGCAAGGATTTCAAGACAGAAGTATGCTAATCTTAGATGAGGCCGAGGATCTTGTGGTCTCATGGTGCATGGGAGGTGGAAACCATGGGCAGTTATTCTGTTTCACACAGGAAACAGGCAACATGAGATATGATTTAAGCAGAACCATATACGAGGACAGAAAAGCCGGCACACCGCACAGAAGCTTCGCTGCCAGGCGACCACCTCCGGTTGCGCGTGGGCTGGGTATACCACCAAGTCCTCCGAATCGATGCGGATTCCAACTGGTGACCCCGGACTACACGACACGCATGTGATCCTTCCAACCACCGGCGACGACGTCGGCAAATTACCGAAAGCCTGTCAAAACATCTGGAGTGTTGGACTGAGCAACAACAAAAAATTATTTAGCAAACTACCAGTTTCCTCGCCTGTTAGGGATCACCCTGATCAATAGATCCTAACTGTTACTGCATAAATGGTTGTTTAAACGCGAGCTGATGACAACTATTTAAATACACGGTCTGGGCTGTGAGAATGAAGGGCGGTGGACAGAATAAATTGTACTGAAGTAACCGTGGTTCTACACAAATGATAATGAAGTAAATAGAAACGTATAACTTAGGAAGAGGCGAACGGACTCGTAATTAGGTACAGATATAATTCCACGTGGTCAGTTCGGGCAGTCCGCGCTCATTCGAGGACGTAATAAATGGTGCATTAAAACAGTGTTCGGATGTCTGAGCTTTGCACATCGTCGTCAGTGAATAATGAAATTGACCAACTCTTCAACAACTGGATGGTCCAAAATTTAGCGACTGATAATTACACTCTTACTGAACACACCGATCAAGTAGGCAGGATGGAAACTCAGTGCGGCCATAAGAGAAGGCATCATACGCCAGATGATGGAAAATAGATAGCAGACGACTGCGATTAACAGCGCAACAGATCAGCTTCAGGCCCGAACAACATTTACTTGGGACAAATTCCTGTATCACATTACGTGATTATTATTTTTGCATTTGTATAAACAATCTGTTTCAACACTGAATCAATTGTGAGGTCGAACAGTTATCACAACCTTACATTATTTCTTGAAACTCATACAGCTGCTCACTCAAGACCAAAGGTTTTCGCATTTTGATCGTCGCAGATTCGCTTGTACATATTCTGATCATGCCTTGTTGGCATGCTTCGTGCAACACCAAGAATATAAATTTGTATTTAGTTAATTCAACGAGCAATGGTAGTAATCTGTCCAAACATCATAATTAAAAATGTGAATGGAAATATACTACTTGTAAATAAATAGTAGTAAAGTCACACAAACAACTCAGGATTGCACTATCAATGTTAGGAATTCACATTCCCCCGGCGATTTACATATCGTTTTGTTTCTGATCATCCACCTCATTTAAAGTCTCCTCCAGTAAGCACACTTGCCGGATTTCTCTGCGAAACGTTCCCTTGTTCGTAGGTACCAGGAATTCCTGAACCAGTCCGTCCCGTCTAGTTTCGCTTCTTCGATTATGCCCTTTGGCCACAGACCCCTTGGAGTGCGTCCATCGGAAACTAGAACTAAATCACCTACCTTAAGCTGCGACTCTTCGCATGCCACCTTTGACGAGCATGTAGGGTCGATAAATAACATACTAACCATCTTTTCCAAAATTCGTCGGACAGCTGCTGCACCTGACGCCACCGTCTTGCCAGTCGGTTGGGAAGCTGTGTTTGCTCGTGGTCCAGGACCCTGTCAGATGTTAAAGTCAACAATTGACTGGGTGATATAGTGCCGAATTCGTCGGGATGTTGGGGATTGGGTAGCAAGAATCTGTGGGTATTATTACCACATCAACCACCGCTGTCTGAAGAATTTCGTCGTTGACAAGCTGCTTACCAAGTAGCACCAAGTGTCAACGTATTGATCGGATCAGGCGTTCCCACGTACCGCCACGATGACTCGCATAAGGAGGATTGAAGATATATTTGCAATTCCTTTCGTTCAAAGTCTGGTTCCAAGTCTTGGTTCCAAAATCGAATAATAGTTTTCAAGTCACCTTCAGCTCCCCGGAAATTCTGTCCATTATAGCTATGCACTCTCAGTGGAATACAAATATTCAGAAGGCGCACAAGAAGGAGTCTGTATCCATAGCGTGCGTTATTTCGATATGTACAGCGCTAACTGAGATAAGTGAGGATACAGCGGCACCGCTTCCCCGTTGTCCGTTTTTCCTTTACCGACGCCGATTGCGGTAAAGGCTGGTTGATATGCTATGCAACGGTCCTCGATGAGAGGGGCCATCTGTTGTACGCAGGGCTGAGCCTTTCATATCTTACAGAGCGCGCAATCCTTCAGCGCTTCGCGAATTGCAGAAACACAGCGTAGGATCCAGTAGTGCTGACGCAATTCGGAAAGAACGTGTGATGCCCCGACATATCCATCTCTTTTATGACAATCTAAAATAATCAGTCTGGTCATGAAATGTTGGGATGGAAGCAGGATGGGAGGTCTAGCGTCATACGGCAATAATGAAAAATTCAATCTACCGCCCACTCGTAGAATACCGTCATGCAAGCATGGACACAGTCCTTTCAACGAGTAATACGAACGTTTAAATGACCAGAATGCCTTGTCTGATCGATTCCTTTTTATTACTTTAACCTCATCCATAAAGAAGAGTTGTACATTTCGCACCACTTCCCTTTTCGCTTCTATAAGTTCGGACAACGTCAAACGACCCCCGGTTGGGTAACGGACATCTTCCGCAACTTTTCATCAAATGCCGCTTAAACCTGAGCAAGATGACCACACGTCGTTTCAGCTTGACCCAGTATCGCAACTTGTAAGCCTATCTAACCAAGTGTTGGTTAAATTGTACAGTTGACGACATTTTCTTTCTTCAGACAATCGTTCGGAATTTCGCACAAACGTTCCAGTGCCT